TTTAATCAAGTTGGTCCCCCCCCCCCCCCTCCCCACACACAAACATCCCCTATCCCTCTATTTCCTGTTTTTCATCTTATTATTATATTTGAAAATGGTTGTTGTGGAATTCCTTCTGGCTTGATGATTGCAGAAGAAAAAGCTGTAATTATTTAGTTCTTGAATGCAGAATTTCTTCTGATTGTATCTCTCAACCTTGCATCCTTTAAGGACCCGAAGCTGATTGAAGTTTCTCCTCAGAGAGGACCAAAGGCAGGAGGAACAACTCTGACAATCACAGGCAGAAAACTTTTGACCGGTCGTGTTACTGATATTAGTGTCCTACTAGGGAATGTGCCTTGTTCATTGTAAGTACTATGTATCACTGTGGAAAACTGTCTCCTGTAGATTGGTGTAATATGAGTATTGTCTGTGATTAGGAAGTTCTTTTATGCCCTTTTTTTCCTCTGCAGAATATCAAGTGTTCAGGAGGAAACTATCAAGTGTCTGACTGGTGCTAGTAACAGGACAGGAGAACACAGAGTGACTGTGCAGTATGGAAACACTGAGCGACATCTCCATGGCAATGGCTATTACTATACCCCTGACCCCAACATTACACATGCCATTCCCTCTAAGAGCTTTGTTGGGTGTGTGTTTGAGTTTACCTGCCTTTATTTAATTTACATTTGTTTCTTTATCAGACGCTTTTATCCAAAGTAACTTAAAGTGACAAATAATACAACAAAGATCTTCAGGTGAACATGAAGTGTTGAAAATAAGAGTTTTAGCCATTGTTTTAACCAAGAGTACAGGTTAGAACCGGGTGGGAAATAAGAAATTGCAGAAGCTTAGAGAAACAGAAGCATATCTTTTTTTTTATTTTTTTAAATAGAGTAAACATAATTGGTATTCAGTCAAATGCTGACAGAAAAGTTTTTTAGATGTTTTATGATTATTGTTTGGGACTAGGCTGTTTTTTAAATTATAATTATGGAAATGTATATTTGTCTATAGGCCTGTACATGGAAATTATTTAATGGAATTATTAAATGGGATTTTTGTTTTGGGATCTTTCATTGTAGTGTACTATAGTATGAATGTCAGAGTGCAACACCTTATTGAACAAAAAAAAAAAGAAGTATGATCATAGGGGACTTAAGGAGTTGATTTTATTTATCAGTTGCTGATTCGAAAGTGACCTAGATGACCATAAAATGTGCAAAAAAAAAAAAACCCTGCAAGGCTGTATTTATGAACTCTTCTTTTAAAACGTTCACTTAAAGAAAAGAAAAAACCTTCTGGAAGTGTGTTTTTTTTTCTTCTTCTCTTGAAAATCTTTAACATTCCTTCGTTTACACATTTATACAGTGGAGGGCGTGTAATAAGCGTGTTCGGCCAGAACTTGAATGTGGTCCAGAAGCCTCAGATGCGAGTTACAGTGGTCCTCCCAGACTCCATTTACCCCTTGAGGAGACACAGACGAAGGAGAAAAAGGAGTGCAACGGATGTGGAAATGCAGGAAACAAACTGTACAGAAGACTGTTCTGTCATACAGGTTTGTTTTTTGTTTTTTTCATTTTAACCTTACCTAATAAACTTATACACTGAATTTTTTGTTTCCCCAGTTTTATACTCTGTTTCTAAACTATATTCACAGATTAGTAAACCATTCCAACACCTCTACACACAAATTTGAAGGCCATCTTCTCAATTTAGAAATTTTTGCCCACTGCTTCATTCATAAACTCACATGGACAATTGGTTGAGATTAAATTATTCATTGGAATATAGAGTATAAACTATACATTTTTATTTTAAAAACCACTTATATACTATCTAATTTAATATCTGATATGACTATGGTAAGTGCATTGATTGCCGATTGTTACTTTAATGGTTCTGATGTTACTTTTATTGGCTATCACACATTTATTCTTTTATAGACTCTTTTATTAAGAGTGACCTTCAAGTGAGATTCAGAAATACTTTTAATGTTCTAAAGGAAATATGTCTTGATTCACAATGGTTTTAAGATTGATCAAATAAAGACATTTTTGTCAATTTTTTAAAGACAGTTTTATTAAGATACTAGATTATAGTCTTTGGTGAACAGTCTCCATAATTATGCATCATTTTGTGTAAAATACTTGGGTGACTGTCCACTTACACGGTGTTATCGCTTTCTCTTGTTTTCCTTTTCTCTGTAGTTTGAGGAGGATTGCGAGGTGAAAAACTCTTCTCTGTTGTTGTGTCGGACTCCTGGTGTAGATGCTAAGGTAGTTGGTGGCCATATGCTGGTTGAGTTTCTGTTGGATAATTTGCGCTTTGACTTTAACTCTGTCAGCCAATCACCTTTCATCTATGAACCAAACCCAGTTCTGCACCCACTGAACCATCGTGATCCCACAAAACCATATCGTTACAAACCTGGATCAGTTATATCAGTGGAGGTTAGTGGGACTTTTGCTGATGTGTTTTTTATCTATTTGTTTATTTATTTTACTTGTCAAGTTTAAGAACTTAATTTTATGCTGCTGCTTTTAACTTTTTCTTGGACCCCTTTTCATTTCTTTCTACAGGGTGAGAATTTAGACTTGGCCATCTTTAAAGAGGAAGTAGTAGCACTGATTGGTGAAGGAGTTTGTACTGTTAAAACTTTGACACATAATCACCTTTATTGTGAGCCACCACCCCAGCAGCCCCCTCTTTCCCTTAGGCACGGGCGCAAGCGAGAGGGAGCTGAGGCCTTTCCAGAATTTATAGTAAGGATGAAGCCAACACCCTCACAAACTGAGCTTTAAATTTCACTTACATCTTCTATTATGAAGTGGCTGTAATTTGCATTTTTTGTTGCAGATATTGTATTGCATGAATAGGGGTGTGTAATAGTGTGTCTGTCTGTTTCCAGGTTCATATGGGAAACTTGAACTTTTCACTGGGACAAGTGCAGTATGATTCTCCTAGTCACTCTATCTTTCCACTGGTGGCGCAGATTGGTGTTGGAGTGGTGGCTTCTCTTGTTGCTCTTATTGTGCTTATCATCGTGTTTATATACAGGTGTGTATGTAATGTGAGAGAATGTGCTAAATACAGTACTGTGAAAAAGTTCCCTATGAAGATTATAGCTTTTTTTTTTTTTACGTATTTGGATTAGATTGGCATTTTACCAGTGTTAATGGATAAATAGCAATAGAATTTAAATAAATAAATAGCAATAGAATTTGATAATAAATTGCCCAGCGTAAATCGGAAAACACAGAATGCCCATTTCATGTTTGGAATGCTTACCTGCTAGCAATGAATAATGCAATAAATCAATATTGAAACATTTATAGACTGGTATATGAACTTAATTGATATTGTGTGCCCTCATATCTCTTCCACTTAGGAGAAAGAGTAAACAGGCTCTGAGAGATTACAAGAAGGTTCAGATCCAGTTGGAGAATCTAGAGACCAGTGTGAGAGACCGTTGCAAAAAAGAGTTTACAGGTAATTTATGGCTACATTTAGGATGAGATCATAGGATAGATCTGAATGATTTTAAATGGCTGGTTTTCCCAGAAATGAAAATTCTGTCATTCATTTCATTAATTTACCCTCATGCCATTCCAAACATTTAAAAACTTTGTTCATCTTCGGAAACACAAATGAAGATAATTGACATTCCCTTGATTGACATAATTTTTGTCTATCCATTGAATTCGACATTTGTGCTGCTGTTTACTATATTTCAAATGACATGAGTGTGTAAATGATGGCCGAATTTTCATTTTTTTTGAGGAACTAATCCTTTAAGTCTAAGAAAAGCTGTAAGCGAGGCCAAAATGTATTCCATCATTCATTCATAGTGGTAAAAAAAATTATACCATTTGGAATTTTTGGTCAAAATTGGGTCCACTTGTTCCACAGAATCTGAAGAGCTTAATTAATTTGAAATGTTCAATAAAGCTTCTTAAAATGTTTAAAGGGGTCATATGATGCGATTTCAAGTTTTCCTTTTTCTTTGGAGTGTTACAAGCTGATTGTGCATAGATAAGATCCCTGAAGTTGCATAGACTAAAGTCTCAAAACCAAAGAGATATTCTTTATTAAAGTTAAGACTCTGCCACGCCCCCCTAAAACAGCTCGTTCTAACACCCCCCCACATATCTACCTCACTATGTGGAAATATTAGCATAATGCCGCCCAAATGTGCATGCAAAGAAAGAAGGTGTGGTTTCAGTAGCCACAGTTAGTGTTGAAGCAGCCATGTCAGAGAGACGCTGTGTGTTTCTAGGCGAAAGCAAAAGCAATTTATTTGGCCTTCCGAAAGTAGATGCATTTAGGAATCTTTAAGATTGCTTACAAGAGAACAGCAATGCATTTTATGGACGACCGTTTCGTGAACCTAGGAGAGGAGGTAATTCTAACTTTGCTATGATAATCTGGTGCTTCTGAATCGGATACTGTTTTGTTATTAGTTTAAGTATTTGCTATTGGCCGTTCAAATGCTGAGTTTTGTCTTGTATGTATGTGTGTGTGTGTGTGTGTGTGTGTGCGCGTGTGTGAGAGAGCGAGAGAGTCTAAGAGTTCTAAGACAGGGAGTCAGCTGTCTTAGCCGTGGCTTGTGTACTGCAAACACATACCAGCTTCATCACTGTGTCTGTCATGCGACTCTGTGCACCTTTCGGGCTCTGTCTTTACATTTATTTTGAAAGATGAAGCTCGCGATTATGGTAAGGGGCGTTACATTTCCGATGAGTGCTTGCGGTGTTCGGCCAATCACAATGCACTGGGTCAGCTGGCCAATCAGAGCAGACTGCACTTGTCGGAAGGAGGGACTTTGTAGAAAACAAAGCGTTTGAGAGAGGCGGGGCATAGAGGACCTACAATAATGTACAGTATTTGAAAAATAATGTGTTTTTTGAACATTAAAGCATGTCAACATATTCTGTTACACCAAATACACAAAATAATTATCTTTAAAAAAACATCATATGACCCCTTTAAACAAATCACAAATTATCCAGTGCAGTATTTCAGCCGTCAGTTAAGTTTCTCAAACCCTTCCTCAAGAAAATCTGATCTTTAATAATCGTACAGTTGACTCTTAAACCTCCACAGATCTGATGACCGAAATGATGGATATGACAAGTGATCTGGTTGGATCAGGGATTCCTTTCTTGGAGTACCGCATGTATGCTGAACGCATCTTTTTCCCTGGGCACCGTGAGTCGCCACTTCGCAGAGACCTGGATGTGCAGGAGTGTCGACGGGCCACGGTGGAGCAAGGACTCATTCAGTTATCTAATCTCCTAAACAGCAAACTCTTCCTCACAAAGGTAGCTAAAATTCTTTTTTCCTCACTGTTGACCAAACACTCAAAGATGAGCAAACACTCTTAACACCTTGTGTATACCAGTATGTTTGCTGCTTTAAAATGTAATTTTTTTTTATTGTTGTCACTTTTACAGTTTATCCACACTCTTGAGAGCCAGAGGACATTTTCACCTAGAGACAGAGGATATGTGGCCTCTTTGCTCACTGTGGCTCTTCACAGTAAACTAGAGTACTTCACTGACATACTCAAAACACTGTTGAACGATCTGGTGGAACAGTATATTGCCAAGAACCCAAAACTCATGCTCCGGAGGTAAGGATGTTGCAGTAACTGACATTAGAAGTACTAATTTAATATTCATTGTTCTCAAGTGTCTGTATGACTGAGGCTTTTATTGTCTTCTCAGAACAGAGACGGTAGTTGAAAAGCTCCTGACAAACTGGATATCCATCTGCCTCTATGCTTTCTTAAGGGTGTGTATATAAAATATATAAATTTACCGTGGATAAAAAGAGATGCTTTGTAGTTCGCGGTTTAAAAAAAATGTGATTAGATGGTTAACAGTGTAAAACAATTGTCCAGGAATGTAATTAGCCTCTTAAAACACGATGATGTCTTAATTAAGACTACAGGATGGTTTAACACCTAGGTCCTTGAGGATCTGATGACAGTTAATAGAGATTTAAAAGAATTTATGTGTTTTTAAGTAGATCATCCATATTGTATTGTGTAAATTATTATAATTCTGCTTCCTGTGTTTAGCATTCAGCTGGTGAGTCTCTGTATATGCTCTTCAGAGCAATTAAACACCAAGTAGATAAAGGACCTGTGGATGCAGTGACTGGCAAAGCCAAATACACCTTAAATGATAACCGTTTGCTGAGAGAGGATCTGGAATACCGCACTCTGGTTAGAATCTTTGAATCTCTTTATTATGACTTGAATCTCTTTATTATACACTTTTAGTGCATTAGTTTAATTGGTTTCTGCCAAAAAGCTTTTTGTAAATAAAAATGATTGAAACACTCCATCTTAGCTCACAGATTGTGTCCACTCTTACAAAATGTAAGCATCACAGTGTTTGGTTACACTTTATTTTATTAATGATGGGCCTGTGTAGATGCAGACTGGCCAGAGTGCCCATGATGATGACCCCTGTATACAGCCAAAAGACCTGAGAATGGGCACACAAGCAAAAGAACTGGACTTTGGGGCAGTGGAAGAAGGTTTTCTTTTGCATCACATTTACTTGGGGATGTAATGGGACCAGGATACACTGCAGGAAGATGACAAAGCTGGTTGAGGGACTGTGATGCTCTGGGCAATGTTCTGCTAGGAAACCCTGTTTCCAGCCATTCATATGGTGTCAATTTGACACATGCCACCTACCTAAACCTCATTGCAGACCAGGTGCACTTTTCATAGCAATAGCATTCCCTGATGGCATTGGCCCCTTTTAACAGGATATTTTACCCTGCTACATTGCACACATTGTTCAGGAGTGGTTTAAAGAAGTGTAATGAAGGGTTAAAGTGATCTCCTGATCTCCAAATTCTTTAGATGTTAATCTGACTTTGCATCTGCGGCATGCGCTGGACCAACCAGTCCAATCCATGGTGGCTCAACCTCGCAACTTAAGGACATGAAGGATCTACTGCTAATGTCTCGGTGCCAGATACCACAGGACACCCTCAGGGGTCTTATACAGTCCATGACTCGACAGGCCAGTGCTGTTTCAGCAGCACAAGGAGGGTCAACAGCATTTTAGACTGGTGGTTGTAATGTTTTGGCTCATCAGTGTATTAATATAGAATTAACATTGTTCTCACAGTAAGTTTCTCAACCCTGGGTTTCTGTCTTATGAGTATAATTGAAGGATGATTGTAGAGTGGGTATAGAAAAGAATCACCCTCTTTAAAATAATCACATTTTGTTGCTTTGCAGCCTGAAATGAAGACAGACACAGTTTTTGTTTTATCCAGCTGCATTTCCTCAGTGTAACTTATAACATCCAAGTGAAATATATTAACACCAACATGTCAGAAAAAAAAAACAGAATCAGAGTTGGATAAAGGATCACCCCCTTGTGTATTTTGTTGAACCACCTTTTGCTTTAATTACAGCCTTTAATCTGTTGGGATATGTCTCTACAAACTTTGCACATCTAAACTTTGCAATATTTGCCCACTCTTCTTTTGCAGAACTGCTCAAGTTCAGTTAAATTTTATGGTGACCATTTGTGGACTGCAGTCTTCAAGTAATTCCACAGATTTTCATTAGGGTTTAAGTCTGGGCTCTGACTAGGCCATGCATTCTCCTTCAACCACTGTGTGGTCAGTTTAGCTGTGTGCTTTCGGCCATTGTCATGTTGGAAGGTAAACCTTCTTCCCATTGACAACTTTCTGGCAGAGGGCAGCAGATTTTCCTCAAGAATTTGACAGTATTTTGCCCCATCCATTTTTCCTTCAATCCTGACAAGTGCTCCAGTCCCTGCTGCAGAGAAACACCCCCATAACAGGATATTACCACCTCCATGCTTTACTGTAGTAGGAATGTTGTTATTTGGATGGTGAACTGTATTGGATTTCCGCATTTGGTGTTGAGGCCAAATAATTCAATTTTAGTCTCATGTGGCCTCAGAAACTTCAAGGTGCGTTTTGGCAAAGCTCAGTCGTGACTGCATATGACCTTTCTTGAGGAGTGGCTTTTTTCTTGCAATCCTCCCATACAAGCCACATTTGTGGATAATTTGTGAGATTGTTGTCACATGCACACAATGACCACTCTTTGTCATAAAGTCATAAAGGCCTCTTGGTAGCCTCTCTGAGCAGTCTCCTCCTGGCTCTTTCATCCAGTTTGGAGCGACGTCCTGATCCAGGGAGGGTCTGTGTTATACCAAATAACTTCCACGTCTTATTCATATACTTTACTGTGCTTCTAGACATTGAGAAAATGTTTTTGTATCCATCTCCTGACTTGTGCCTGTCCACAACTTTTATCCCGGAGATCTTTTGACAGTGCCTTTCCATCCATAGTTGATTCTTACCAAATGCTGAAGGGTTCAGATATTTCAGTATCATTGTTCAGCAAAACATTGCTGGTTTTATGGTGGAAGTGAAAGATGTGCAATTTAAACCGATTATGGTTCAGATCAGAAGCCATTGTCTTGAAGAGAAAATAGGAAAATCAACTGGGATATTTAAAATAAACCAGTCAGTTTATAAGATTTATTACAGAATCATATATAGATTTTTTTGTGCTTGTATAAAATGTAAATAATTAAAATGTGATTTTAAAATACTTAATTCTTTCTCTTCTCTTTTTTTCACTTTAGACATTGAATGTCTTGATGCAAGGAATAGGTGTGAATGAGGCTCAGCCAGTTGCTGCCAAAGTTTTAGACTGTGACACTATAACCCAGGTGAAGGAGAAGATACTAGACCAGGTGTACAAGGGCACCTCATACTCTCATAGACCACATGCTGACTCTGTGGACCTGGGTGAGAACATTCATATATGTCTGCCTTCTCTTACCCATATCAACTGTGTCCTCTTTACGTAATAATCATTAATTCTTACATTCTTTGTTTGTTTCTTTTCAAACTTTATATGTCTTTGACTTTACATGTGGTTTTCATCGTTCCTTGGGCATTTCCAGAATGGCGGTCTGGTGTAGCAGGTCACCTAATCCTCTCAGATGAAGATCTAACATCTGTGGTTCATGGCAACTGGAAACGCCTGAACACGCTCCAGCATTATAAGGTACAATGCAATCTTTAAAACACACAGTGCTGTAAACCACTCAAGTGCTTTACAAATAACAATGCCTTACAAATCTTCTTAGTATGCAAGCCAATGGAAAAATGAAAGGTGCGGGCACATTTACAATTGCTCACTGTTGCCAAATTTTGTGAGCAAAATCCAGTAATTTCAGTAGAAATCAGTGCATTTAGGAATTTTGCATGAGGAGAAAAATTTCCCAACACGTGTTTTTGCATTGGATTCAAGGTGGTCATGCAAATTTGATCAACAGAAATCTGCTTTGTTTAAAAGTGGAGGACCGAATAGGGACTATCCTCATTTGACTAGTGTATATTTAAACTAATGTACACATGCCAAATATTCCTTAGTTACATGATATATCATATAATATATATATAACATTTTTAACTTCTATTCTTCATATATTTTTGGGATTTCAGGTTCCAGATGGAGCAAATGTAGCTTTGGTGCTGCGCCAAAGCAAACATATTCACCATGATACCCATGATTACTTTGCAGGGGAGAGTGAGTACACTATATCGCACGTGACTATGCAAAGTGTTCATGTTCACAGACACGCAACACACAGGGCTGTTTTTTATGATTGTTTAGACCAGGGGTGCCCAACCCTGCTCCTGGCGATCGACTGTCCTGCAAAGTTTAGCTCCAACTCTAATCAAAGACACCTGCCTTTAATTTTTAAGTGATCCTGAAGACCCTAATTAGTTGCTTCAAGTGTGTTTGATTAGGGTTGGAGCTGAACTTTGCAGGACAGTCGATCGCCAGGAGCAGGGTTGGGCACCCCTGGTTTAGACAGTATTGTGTAAAAAAAATTACAAATTAAAAGGGTACTGTGGTACTGACTATAGTCTTCCTTCCACTGTAGAAAAGTGAAGTCATAATATCCCAAGATAGCTGCTGCCATCTTTCGCTGATGATGTCATTTTATATTTTTTTAATTAGTAATTTTTAATTTTTTTTAAAGCTTGGCTCACCTCTCATTTGTTTACATGGAAAGGGCAGGGTTTATGACCAATACTGCAGCCAGCCACCAGGAGGTGATCTAAATGTTTTGGATTCACTTTTCTTGACATGTATAGTGTACAACATAGTGTGTCATGGCGCAGATCAAAAATATAAACACAGTTGTTTGTCTTTAGTAACTGTAATAGGCAGCACGAAAAAATCTGTGTGTAAAATGTATAAAATGTTTTATTAAACATTGTGGTCTAAATCTGGGTAACTAACATTTTTATTCTGTGTTCTCTATTCAACACTTGAATATATTGCTTTATTTTATCGTCTTTCATTCTCCCTCCACAGAGACGCCCATGCTAGAGGATGCAGATGAGGGAGGAGTGAGACTGTGGCATCTAGTGAAGGCCAGTGAGGAGCCAGAGTTACCCAAACACAGACGAGGCAGTTTAAAAGAACGAGAAAGAGCCAAGACAATACCAGAGATCTATCTCACGCGGCTACTGTCAATGAAGGTATCTTAAACGCACGTTCATACAGCCTAAAGAACTAGACAAAAGCATAAAGGAGAAGCCAAACTCATAACAGTTATGTACAACTCTTTCTAGTATGCATGGGCGATTTAAAAAAAAAAAATTTTGAACATGCGCACACCTGTTTACTTGCTGTGTCTTTGTCTATCTGTAGGGTACACTGCAGAAGTTTGTGGATGATCTGTTCACAGTTATTCTAAGCACTAGTCAACCGGTTCCTCTGGCAATCAAATATTTCTTTGACTTGCTTGATGATCAGGCAGTGCGCCATGGCATTTCAGACTCTGAAACTATTCACATCTGGAAAACTAACAGGTACTAATTCACTTAGTGAACAATTTAACCATAAAAAAATGCTAAAACACAATCCGAGAATAGTTGTGTTTTTCCAGTCGAGAAACTTGTGGGTTAATGCATGCCAACAAAAATAACTGTCATTTATTTTAATTTACATTTTTTCTTTGGTCACCTTTTTTATATTGATCTGTGATCAGTGATAAAGGGTCAGTAACCCCCCCAAAACAACAAAAGTTTCTTGGGTGAACTATACCTTTATCCTAAGTATTTAATGGAGCTACTCGGTGATAGTCTCATAAATGAATGGATTAGAATTAGATATTGAAAGCCTTAACTGGATTAAAACGATCACGTATCCACCTACGAGTGAAGTAATAGTTTAAAGTTTTCTTGATGATCTGATTTGGTTGTCTTTTGGTTCTAGTTTGCCTCTGCGGTTCTGGATCAACATTGTAAAGAACCCTCAGTTCATCTTCGATGTGCAGGTGTCAGATAATGTGGACGCGGTTCTGTCAGTTATTGCGCAAACATTCATGGACTCCTGCACTACCACAGAGCATAAACTTGGAAGGGTAAGAGACGAACAGAGAAAGGAACAGGAAGCCAGTAGCGTGGAATATTGACATTGCTGAAGATTAAAAACTGATGTTTTTCTTTTTATTCCTGTTATTTATCTAGGATTCACCTATTAATAAGTTGCTGTATGCCAGAGATATCCCTCGCTATAAACAGATGGTTGAACGGTAAAAATACCTTGGACTACTTTACTACTGTTTAGGGCCAGGGTTCCTCAAATCTTGTCCTGGGGGGCCAATGCGCTGCAGAGTTTAGCTCCAACCCTGATCAAACTCAGCTACCTGTGATTTTCTAATGATCCTGAAGACATTGATTAGCATGCTCAGGTGTGTTTGATTAGGGTTAGAGCTAAACTCTGCAGGAAAGTGGATCTCGTGGACCAGATTTGAGGATCCCTGGTATAGGCTATATTAGAAAGTCATCTTGTTCTGAATGTCACTGTTTTTCTTAAACAGATATTATGCAGACATCAAGCAGACCATCTCTGCCAGCGATCAGGAGATGAACTCTGCTCTTGCTGAGCTCTCCAGGGTATGTCTGTCATTAGTTTACTTCCTTTCAGTTGTAAAATTGGAATAAGTCATTTTGACTGAAGTGAATTTGTAATGGGTTAGAGACGGGGGGGGGTTAGTGTAGCACATACAAATTTTGTTCATAAGATTTACACACTCTACATTTGTTTTGACTGTCAGAATTACTCTGGAGAATTAAATTACCTGGTGGCCCTGCATGAGCTCTATAAGTACATCAACAAATACTACGACCAGGTGAGTCATGACAGGCTAAGATATATTTTAAGACAATGTATACGCTCTTAGGCTAAGACTAAATAAAAAGGTTCTGTTTGTTAGCATCAGTTAACTATTATAAGTTAACATGAACTAACAATGTACTTCTACAGCATTAATCTTAATGGTCATTTTAATGTTTACTAATATATTGGGTCACTTTAGATTGTGGATTCTCACTATTAACTAGCTATTAACTAGGACTTCTTTCCCCAGTAAACTCCTAATTTGCTACTTATTAATAGTTAGTAAGGTAGTTGTTAATTTTAGGTAGGGGTAGGATTAGGGGATCTAAAATATGGTCATGCAAAATAAAGCATTAATTTGTGCTTTGTAAGTACTAGTAAACAGCCAATATGCTAGTAATATGCATGCAAATAAGTAACTAGTTAATAGTGAGAATCTGTCCCTAAACTAAAGCGTTACCGAATGCTGAAAAAAATACACTACTGTTCACAGGATTGGGGTCAGTAACATTTTCTTTAAAGAAATTAATACTTTTATTCAACAAGGATACATTAAATCAGTAATTCTCAAACCTTTTACAGCGGCGTACCCGCTGGGGCATTTAACATTCTTCTGCGTACCCCATCTCTTCCACGTAGACCGCAGTCACACCTTTTCTATTAAAGGGGTCATATGATGTTGCTAAAAAGAGCATTATTTTGTGTATTTGGTGTAATGAAATGTGTTTATGCGGTTTAAGGTTAAAAACACATTATTTTCCACATACTGTACATTGTTTCTCCTCTATGCCCCGCCTTTCTGAAACGCGTCGATTTTTACAAAGCTCATCGGTCTGAATAAGCGAGGTGTGCTCTGATTGGCCAGCTATCCGGTGCGTTGTGATTGGCTGAATTTCTCAAGCGTGTGACGGAAATGTTACGTCCCTTACCATATTGTGATGCCTGCGGCAACCACATGTGACGACCCCGGGCTGAACTCCACTTCGTCCACGGTGAAAGCCGATCCGGCGATCGACAGCGCGAAGTTGATGTATTCCCTCAGCGACTAGCACGGATCAGCTCCAGTCCAGGCATGACGAAGCGATATCGTCCTCCTTTTGGAAGGCCAAACAAAGTAGTTTCGCTTTCACAACGAAACACACAGTGCCTTCACGACATGGCGGCGGCGGTAACAACAATACTACAGCGAGAATAAAAGTTACGCCTTCTTTCTTTGCGTGAACATTTGGGCGGCATTATGCAAATCTTCCCACATCATGACATAGACATGTGGGGGCGTGTTAGAACGAGCCGTTTTAGGTAGGCGTGGTTGACTCTTAACTTTTATAAAGAATATCTCTTTGAATTTGAGACTTTAGTCTTTGCAACTTTACAGATCTTTATGCACCAAGAGGTTGTAACACTCCAAAGAGAAAGGAAAAACTGAAATCGCATCATATGACCCCTTTAAAGGACAATATTTGCCCCCTTAAATTGATTTACAGGTGCATTTTTTTTCCCTTTATAGAGGCAAAGATTTTCTATCCTTATTAATGGTATCTTATGTCATGTTTTATGTACATGTTTTATTCTTAACATTCCTTTAAGTGTATTATTAATAAAATAAATAAAGCAATAAATGATGGAAAATCAAAGTGATACTTGTGGACTTAAAAATAAAACCGCCAATAGGTGGCAGCAAGTCACTGTCTTAATGAGCCAGGCATCGCATTATTCATTCATTCATTCAGTAACAAAGCAAAATGCTGTAGTTATGAATGGGTTATTAATCACTGACGCTGTGAATCGTTCAAAGCCGCTGGTTCGTTCACTAACGAAACACTGCTGTATGATGCTTGGAGATGATACGGATTTTGTTGGAACTATTATTATTTCGTTGCAAAATAACAAACATGACAATATTCCGTTTAAAATGTAGGCTACATTTAAAATGTAAAATGTTCCCTTAATATTAACTTTTTTGTTGAACTGTTGTAAAAATCTGTCACATTTGCCATCGTTTGGATATTCAAGAAAATTTGCATTCTTGCTCTTATTTTAAACATGAAAACAATAACTCGCACAGTGTATGTGTCTGTATCGAAGAGAGTTTAAATCGATCTCAATGTACAGTGCGTGCCAATATTTGCTCTTCATGCTATTAAGTGAAGATCTACTTTAAAGATACATTGAACAGCAGCATGATTTGCTAAAGCAGCATATTCAGCGGGCATCCTATCATGCGCACACTGCTTGTGTGGATGCAGTCAGTTTTGACTGCAAAAGATGAGGTAAGCTGATTGGATATCATGTATTTGACCGTTTACGGCACTTCCATTTTCCTTTTTTTTTTTTTTTTTTACATTAGAAGTGGCATTTTGCTTTTCAGAAAGACATGTTCGGTTTTAATGTTACTTTAAGTTGGGGTAGAATTAAATTAATGCCAAAACTCCGAATTTTGTTTGCATACACCAGTTTGAGAACCACTGCATTAAATAGATTAAAAGTGATAGTAAAAGAATACTGGAAAAAGTGTACCATGGTTTCCACAAAAAATATTAAGCAGCACAACTGTTTCCAACATTGATAATAATGATAAACATTTATTGCACCAGATCAGCATATTAGAATGATTTATGAAGGATAATGTGGCACTCAAAACTTTGGCATGACAGGGAATTTTTTTTAAATAATACAATTCAAATCAAAATATTAACATTTTAAATATATATTAAAATAGAATAACATTTTAAATTGTAGATAATATTTCACAATATTACTGTTTATGTATTTTTGATCAAATAATTCTTAAACTTTTAAAAGTTGGTGTATATTGCTAATGTGTTCATGTTAGCTAATGCATTACAAATGAGACATTGTAAAGTGTTACTACTATTAGTAGAACAATACATTTTTAGAGGCTATTTTCTGCTGCTTCAAAAAATGTGCGTATTTATGCTCTAATTTTATTCCTATATGTGTGTGTTTGTTAGATTATCACTGCCTTAGAGGAAGACACCACCGCACAGAAGATGCAGCTTGGCTATCGGCTTCAACAGATCGCTGCAGCTGTAGAAAATAAAGTGACAGACTTGTGATCATGGACAAAGTAAAGTGAAAGTAATAAGTGTGAAGACACTGATGGGTGGCTATATGAACACATGGTACAGGTACTTTAGGTACAGTATCAATTGCAACGCTACCATGTGAAGCAAGTATACACAAAGATCGTGTTCCGTTTAGCTGTATTAAATTGGACTCTACTAAGGAAGATAAATTAAGACCCACAGTGTAATGTGATGTGTTGGTTTAGAAGGGTGGAGCCTTTAACTTGAATATGGTCTTGGATTTTTTTTTTTTTTTTTTTATATGGAATATGGTTATTCCCATTTCAGTCCTTTTCATTTTAAAAAGCCTGGATGCCTTGTTGAGTTCATGAATACATTATACTCCCAGTGGAGGGATTTTTTTCTGCAGGATTAACATGAAAACCACGTATACATGCTCAAACTCTTGCTTGGTCATGGCCTTACAACAGAACAAAATTAGATGTTCTGTACTCTGTCTACCTCCTCGCTTTGTATCTACCAGTGTGTTTATGTAAAAATGTCTTGTGGCTGTAGTAATTTTGTAACATTTGAATGTGATTCAGCATTTGCAAAGTTGCTAAAACTGTCAAAAACATACCACGACTGACTGAAGTAAAATGTTATAGAACATTTTCAGCTCATTAGCATATTGTAAATTGTCATAATGTTCAGTAAGTGTCACTGGAAAGTACAGTATGTAAGAGTCTGTTTTGTTAACTTTTTTAAATGTATAAATATTTACTAGTAAGACCAAGTCTAGCAGACTTGTTACATACAGTATAGTGTCATTGTTTCAACTAGTCAGGTCAAATAATGTTTAGCCAATGTTTTTTTTTTTTTTTTGGATTAATTTTAATCTGCTGGTGTCTTTTTAAGCCTTTTTTTTAATTTGAGGTGCCAACATAGGATTGAATGAATTGATCATCTCTTACCACATCCTCTAACATTTCATCAATATGGAATTTTAAAGACTGACACTTTTATGTAGGTACATTTAAAGGATAGAAATCTCTAGCCTTCATGTGAGAAAATATGATCTGTATTGTATGTAAAGTTGTGCTCAAATATATTAGTGCTGGTCCACTGTATAGGTAAATAGACCACTCACTTGCAATTCATTTCTTTTGATCAAAGACTGTTCTCAAACACTGAATTATCACAAAAATGTGAGATAAATAGAAATTGTCAGAGAAAAGATGTGACTGTCATATTTACTAATATTTTTAGTGTAGTACAATGTAAATAATGACTGAATTGTTACGTAGCTTCTTAGCAAATTCAAAAAGAGTAAATTATTATAAGACTTATAAACTGTTCTTTAAAAGAGGTTTAACAATCAGCTTACAAGTTTAATGTTAAGCTGTTCTATAGGTTTTTGGGTCTGAATGTATGTGAATTATGGGAATACAAATGAACGATTACTTGATACATTGTCTTTTCCATAACATCACATGAAAACTAAATTGATTGTGTTGGGCGTTCAAGGTGAACTTGATGGCATCAGTTTAATAATTAGGATAAATAAAGTTTAAATTTGGAGAGCTCTGCCAGTCTCTGTTCTTCTTGGTTCTTAAAACTCATTTGGTATTAAAAATGTTTATTAGGACTAGTCTGACATAATTTCCCATATTGTCTTTTAATTAAGCAGTTATCTTTTGAGAATGACATTTTCCATAACTGCCCACTGAATGCTTATAAAATACAATGCATCCTTCCTTCGTTAGACTTTGACAAGCATGAAACTGCACTTTCTCAAAGAATCCTGCTGAAGATATTTCAGAGTATCTTAGTATTCTCTATGGGCAGAGGTGTAAAGTATTGGAGTAAATGTACTTAGTTACTGTACTTGAGTATCTTTTCGGGTACTTTGTAGTTGTACTGAGTATCAAAGATATTAGCAACTTTTACTCTTTACTCCACTACATTTCTGAATGAGTATCTGTACTCTTTACTCCACTACATTTGAAATGAGTGTTGCAGTTACACATTACATTTTGCATGGACCTAGCTTTTTCTGCGGCAGTTTATTTCTGCTACAAAAGAAGTGATACTGCCTATTACAGGTCACTGAAAGTACTGCGTTTTGCCCTTACTCACCCAAACTTGTCAACAAGGCTACTTTATGTGAATGCGAGTTCCTTAGCAAGTATTTGTGAATCAGAGGTGTTTTATGTATGAGATGAGGACATGACTGCAGCCGGTAATAAGGCCGAAACCAGCACAGCCACTGCAAGAAGGCTTCGGCTTTTTAATTTGATTTAATATTATTTTATTTATCCATTATACTGAAGAGACCTTTTTGAAAGATATTGTTTTTTGTTTGTTTTGTTTTGTAATTTTGAGGTGTTCAGTTTTATTTTGGTTTTAGAAAATAAACGTGATTGCTCTCCTCACAAATCAACTCTTTCTTGTTTTTGTTTCATGCTCTCTGTGCCTTGCCCTGGACTTTTATGTCACTTCCTGCCTCCCGTGGTGTTTGTAGTCAGTTTGTAGTCCGTTTGTTCATTGGTTCCCCTTGATTTGTCTCCCCAGGTGTGTCTTATCTTGTTAAGCTTGTTAGCCCCCTGTGTGTATATATATATAGCGCCCTAGTTTTTCTTTAGTTCCTCGTGAGTTATTGAATGTAATGGTTGTCTGTTTGCCAGTCATTCTGTTCTTTGTTCCCTTTGGGTTTTGCCTTATTGTTTGTTCTAGTTTTTCCATGAAATACCTGCACATAGATCCTTGCCTCTGCCTGTTTTCCGCAGCTTCTCCACAACGTTACAGTTTATCACTGGCATGTCTCTTTGACTAGTGCATCTTTGAGCCTATATTTAGTATACGTAAAATACTTAAGTACTGTTAAAATCAGATACTCTAAGACTTTTACTCAAGTTGTTTTGGAATTGGTGACTTGTAACGTGTAGTGGAGTAATTTTCACTGTAAGGTATCTGTACTTTTACTCAAGTATGGTTTTTAGGTACTCTTTACACCTCTGTCTATGGGTGTTTCAACAGTATGCAGGTGCCAATTCTGTTTAGCGTAGCTTATTTTAGAAAGATGTCTAAACATTTCATTTTGTGACATAAAAACACACTATATCACGTGTGATATAAAAAGTACAAGTGTACATTTAAATGTATTAAGATACTGTCGGCTTACAGCAAGAAGATCCCCAATTTAAGCCCAAGGTTGAGCCGGGAGTCCTTTTTGTATGAAGTTTGTATGTTCTCTCAGTGTTTGCATAGATGTTGTCCGTTGACTCCAGGTTCCACAGTTCAAAGTCAAACAGGTTAGGTGAATTGGAGAATATGGATTGCCCTTCTTTGTGAATGTGTGTCTTTGTACGTTAGCTCTGTGATGGACTGGTTACCTGTCAAGGGTGTATCCCTGCCTTCCGCCTGAGACACTGGAATGTACTCCCGTGACCCTACATAGGGGAAATGTCATAAGAAAGTTGAACCATACCTTGCTCCTACAGAGCTACAATCCTGCAGATTTCAGCTCCTACCACAATCAAACACACACAATCCAGCTAATCATGGAGTTGAGGGGAACTTGATAATTCTATCAATAAGTAGCCCTTCTTGGTAAAATATTTGGGCACGTCTAATTTACATACACTACCAACATAGTAACAATGCAAAGCTGGTTGAAAATTGGTGAACTAAACTTATCCTTTAAAGGTATGTTTAAACCTGTATGAATTTCTATCTTCTGTGGAACAAAAAATACAGTTTTATTTGTTTTGTTTTTTTCGTCCAGACAAAGTCAATGGGGTCCAATGTTGTGTGGATCCTAACGTTCTTCAAAATATATTCAAAATACAAATACAAAATATATGTTCTGCAGAAGAGAGTCTTGCATGGAAAGAAATTGGACAGAGGGTGAGTAAATGATTATAGAACATTAGCATTAACTATTCCTTTATATATATATATATATATATATATATATATATATATATATATATATATATATAAACTCCATCCTCTCATACCAAAATCCACCATTTTATTTGTTTTTATTTATAAATGGTGCTTGATGTCTGCATAACTCTCTCCTTTTTCACAAGCTACATTTTAGCTGAAAACAAATGTTTGAAGTTCAAAACATCTTAATGATGAATTTATTACAAACGTTCAGTTTAACTGACGGACTGGAGTCGTGTGGATTACTTGTGGGTTATAGTAATGTTTTTATCAGCTGTTTGAACTCTCATTCTGACGGCACCCATTCACTGAAGAGGATCCATTGGAAAGCAAGTAATGTAATGCTAAATTTCTCCAAATCTGTTCCGATGAAGAAACAAACTCATCTACATTTTGAATGGTATATATATATATATATATATATAAACTCCAGAAACAAAAATCATACTGTACAAACACATTTAAACATTACAAAAGCATTAACAGAAAAGTGTAACAAACAAGAAAAAAAACAACACTCCTCCTCCTTTTGGTTTTATGCCACCATCTTTATAGGTGCATACCACCACCTACTGTGATGGAGTGTGAAGAGAAAGATTGAGATATTCCTCACATTATCCCTATTTTAAATTTTTTTTTCTAATAAATCTCATAATTGCATTCATTTGTTTTCCTACATTAGACCAGTGGTTCTCAATTCCAGTCCTCACCGCTCTGCACATTTTGTATGTATCTCTTATCACTTCAGACGTTTGTTCTATTCGACCGTATTTCATGGACTTCACAGGATATTCTGCCATGATTCCAGCTCGAAGGGAGCATATTTGTGTAACGAGATAATACAGTTCTATGATTCCAGTAAATTCTGCGTTAATGGGATAGCACTTCCTATTGGCTGCGTGGATGGCGCTATTGCCCACTGAGTTCGAACAGTCTGCAGCAGAGCTATGGAGAACGCTACTTATGTATGTAACTGTGGTTTTGTGAAACTCCCGATGGTTCCACGGTGTCAATGCCTGGATACAACTGCGCAAAACAACAATCAGCCGATGAAGATGTCTGGCAGGGTACAACTGAAAATTACACATTACATGGGAGTCCAGTGTCATTCCAATATAAGTAATTGTTTGCACTGGATTCAGACAACTCTTTGCCTCGTTTACTGCAAGACCAAGCTTCTGCATATGCTCCAAAAGCAGTCTAGTGTCACGTGCAGCTTGTTGTTTTGTCGGTGCACACAGCAGCCAGTCATCTGAGTAAGGCAGGATTTGCATCCATCTGGACCACAGCGGATGTAGAGCTGCAGTCATGCACCTCGTGAAGACACGAGGGGCCAAAGACAGGAAGAACGGTAGGACCTTTAATTGGTAGGCCTGGTTCTTGAAACTGAATCGAAGAAATTTCCTGTGGTGAGGAGCAATCGGAACATGAATGTAAGCATCTTTCAAATCTATGCTTTTGAACCAATCTTTGTGACTGACCGAAGAACGTCAGCTGCACGTAACATCCGAAAGGGAAGAGTTTTCAGGAACATGTTTAGATGTCTCAAGTCTCGAACTGGCCTGGACGGCGTCGAAACTGCTGAGTATACCCCTTGCTCAATGTAGTCCAAACCCATGGATCTACAGTCATCTCCCTCTAGTACTGCAGGTGTAGACTCGAAAAATGATTGACCACCAGCCCAATGACTTCAAGCTTTGTGGGTGTGACTTTTAACGGCTGATGAGGTCGAAAATCCTCATTGGCACAGGGCCTCTGTAACCCTTGAGGTTGTGGTGTAGAATGCTGGTGGAATCGTTGCTCTGATATCGCAAAACGATGACAAGCCTGAATGCCCGGCACCTTAAAAACAGGAGTCAATTGACGAGTGGCCTCAGACAACTTTAATCTTTTTTCCAGAAGCTCTGGGACATTAGGGCCAAAGAGGTGACCAGGAACTATTGGGAGGTCTCGTAGTGTCTTTTTACAATCCTCCAGCAGTTTCGCCTGGGCAAGCCACACTTGCTGGCGAGCTGCCAGAAGCGTGGCTGTAAGAGTACCCAGTTCACGGGTGACATGACCCATAGCCAAAAGAGCAGTTTGAAGGAACTGCGAAACTGAGGGGTCCACATTTGCTGATTCGAGTGTGCTAGTTGTGGTGAGGAGTAATTGACATTTATTGTGTTCTCAGCACGGGTTGTATATGCTGTAGACTCATATGCCTTTTTGAGTAACGAGTCTGTGCGACCACACTGAGTACTGGGGCAATGCACATTGCCTCACCGGGCCTCATCAGGTGATATTACGAGGGCAGTGACGGGTTGCTCTATTTCTGAAACACGGCCAACCCCAAAGGTATCTGCATCCGCCATAGATGCCAGTGTACAGGCAGTCTTTGACTGCCGTTTGGGTGAAGTAGACCCTATCAGGGAGTTTGAAAATTCTGCAACAGAATCCTTGCATGGTGGCATAACAAAGTTAGACCCAGCTGAAAACTGTCTAAAAAAGACGTTGGACTGGGCTGGCTGCACTGGCAAGTTATCCAGCCCTAAACAAGCAACTGCCATCTGTAGCATAGCTAAGGTATCATCCATGGAGGATGGAGTTAGTCCAGAGAGAATCGAATCACCGCTAGAACACCCTGCAGCTGAAAAAATGCATTCTCCTGGGGGAAAGATTGTGCAGCAACATCTACCGCATTCAATTGATCCTGGAAAATTGAGTCAGACACACTTGTAGAGAGCATGTCAAAGTCAGCGTGAGTTGGAGAAGAGGAACTAAAAGGTTCGTCATCCATTTTCTTACTGGGACCTTCCTCATCTTCCTGTGTAATAGCTACAGGTGAGGCAGGCATAACAGGCTGGAACGTCTGAAGAAGGCGTTTTATCTCTGACATCTCAGACAACAGGACAGCAACCGTCTTAGCCACCGGATAGCACCGAGATGGCACAAGTGTTGCACAATTTTATGTAAGATGAAAAACTGAGCGGGGAACCGTCAGCAAATTGATCGGTTACACTAACCACCGGATAGTACCGAGAAGCACTAAGTGTTATCGATATATCAACAAATATATCCAACAAAAACAAAAAAACTCACCGAAACTCCTTATGAGCACGCGGTTACAGCTCTTGTAAGCTGCACTTGACAGCGTGGAAATCGATTGAAGAACGACCTATCACAGACAAGTGAGAAAGCAAAAGAGACCAGATGCTGAGCTAGTGTGTCTATTATACTTGAGGCTCAGCCTATGTCACCACGTGACTTTTTTGGTATATTATCTCGATCTATCGAGCAGGCACTGTGATAATTTACTAGTGCTTAAGCACCACCTCTAGTGGTCAGGAGGAATGAAACAGAACAATAACATCACCGAGCTTTCCATTTTGTATCTTACTGCTCTGTGTGCAGGCATCAAATAAATTCTAATATCATCCACGTTCAGAGTACTTGTCCTGTTGAAGGGTGGGACCGGGTCAGATACACATAAAGGACACATATGTTCCATTCAAAGGGCAATAAATTAGAATTTATGAATTGTGAATTTAAATTGTATTTATTTACAGAGGTATATTATGTTACACTTCACACTTCTCTAGTAAGTTTTGTCTGTGTGTGAAGACGCTGCAGGCCGGGGTGTTGCCCAAATCCACGAATGAATGTTTCAAAGTTAAGTAAACTTTAACAGATTTCCCGTGCTAAGGAAGTAGGGAGGAATGAACACCATGTATGAACCTTGTCAATCGGAACAGTTCATGCATGGAGCTCTTTTCTAATGAGCTGGTTATCTGAATCAGGTGTGTTAAATAAGAGAGACATGCAAAGTATGCAGAGCGGTGGTACGCGAGGACTGGAATTGAGAACCACTCATTTAGACCATCATTTAGTATATTACCCTGTTGAAAAAAAACAGCATATGCTGGTTAGGTATGTTTTGAAGCATGACTGCTGGTTTGAGCTGGTTTAAGATGGTCATATGCTGGTCCTAATCTGGTTCTGAGCAGGAGCTAGTTGCTTAGGACCAGCACATGACCAGCTTAAACCAGCTCAAACCAGCAGTCATGCTTCAAAACATACCTAACCAGCATATGCTGTTTTTTTAAGGAACTGCGAAACTGAGGGGTCCACATTTGCTGATTCGAGTGTGCTAGTTGTGGTGAGGAGTAATTGACATTTATTGTGTTCTCAGCACGGGTTGTATATGCTGTAGACTCATATGCCTTTTTGAGTAACGAGTCTGTGCGACCACACTGAGTACTGGGGCAATGCACATTGCCTCACCGGGCCTCATCAGGTGATATTACGAGGGCAGTGACGGGTTGCTCTATTTCTGAAACACGGCCAACCCCAAAGGTATCTGCATCCGCCATAGATGCCAGTGTACAGGCAGTCTTTGACTGCCGTTTGGGTGAAGTAGACCCTATCAGGGAGTTTGAAAATTCTGCAACAGAATCCTTGCATGGTGGCATAACAAAGTTAGACCCAGCTGAAAACTGTCTAAAAAAGACGTTGGACTGGGCTGGCTGCACTGGCAAGTTATCCAGCCCTAAACAAGCAACTGCCATCTGTAGCATAGCTAAGGTATCATCCATGGAGGATGGAGTTAGTCCAGAGAGAATCGAATCACCGCTAGAACACCCTGCAGCTGAAAAAATGCATTCTCCTGGGGGAAAGATTGTGCAGCAACATCTACCGCATTCAATTGATCCTGGAAAATTGAGTCAGACACACTTGTAGAGAGCATGTCAAAGTCAGCGTGAGTTGGAGAAGAGGAACTAAAAGGTTCGTCATCCATTTTCTTACTGGGACCTTCCTCATCTTCCTGTGTAATAGCTACAGGTGAGGCAGGCATAACAGGCTGGAACGTCTGAAGAAGGCGTTTTATCTCTGACATCTCAGACAACAGGACAGCAACCGTCTTAGCCACCGGATAGCACCGAGATGGCACAAGTGTTGCACAATTTTATGTAAGATGAAAAACTGAGCGGGGAACCGTCAGCAAATTGATCGGTTACACTAACCACCGGATAGTACCGAGAAGCACTAAGTGTTATCGATATATCAACAAATATATCCAACAAAAACAAAAAAACTCACCGAAACTCCTTATGAGCACGCGGTTACAGCTCTTGTAAGCTGCACTTGACAGCGTGGAAATCGATTGAAGAACGACCTATCACAGACAAGTGAGAAAGCAAAAGAGACCAGATGCTGAGCTAGTGTGTCTATTATACTTGAGGCTCAGCCTATGTCACCACGTGACTTTTTTGGTATATTATCTCGATCTATCGAGCAGGCACTGTGATAATTTACTAGTGCTTAAGCACCACCTCTAGTGGTCAGGAGGAATGAAACAGAACAATAACATCACCGAGCTTTCCATTTTGTATCTTACTGCTCTGTGTGCAGGCATCAAATAAATTCTAATATCATCCACGTTCAGAGTACTTGTCCTGTTGAAGGGTGGGACCGGGTCAGATACACATAAAGGACACATATGTTCCATTCAAAGGGCAATAAATTAGAATTTATGAATTGTGAATTTAAATTGTATTTATTTACAGAGGTATATTATGTTACACTTCACACTTCTCTAGTAAGTTTTGTCTGTGTGTGAAGACGCTGCAGGCCGGGGTGTTGCCCAAATCCACGAATGAATGTTTCAAAGTTAAGTAAACTTTAACAGATTTCCCGTGCTAAGGAAGTAGGGAGGAATGAACACCATGTATGAACCTTGTCAATCGGAACAGTTCATGCATGGAGCTCTTTTCTAATGAGCTGGTTATCTGAATCAGGTGTGTTAAATAAGAGAGACATGCAAAGTATGCAGAGCGGTGGTACGCGAGGACTGGAATTGAGAACCACTCATTTAGACCATCATTTAGTATATTACCCTGTTGAAAAAAAACAGCATATGCTGGTTAGGTATGTTTTGAAGCATGACTGCTGGTTTGAGCTGGTTTAAGCTGGTCATGTGCTGGTCCTAAGCAACTAGCTCCTGCTCAGAACCAGATTAGGACCAGCATATGACCATCTTAAACCAGCTCAAACCAGCAGTCATGCTTCAAAACATACCTAACCAGCATATGCTGTTTTTTTCGACAGGGTAGGCCTACTTATTGTGCAATTCTTCTTTAAGACTCTTCCTTTCTCTTTCATATGCATTACATATCATCAAAACATGCTCCAATGTCTCTATTAAGCATCACTTTAACATGTATTATGTTTCCCTGTAATGTGTAATGTATGGCTAGGATCGTAGATGTGTGGAAATGACTTGTTCCCTTCTGGTTATGTTATGAATGATTTTTCTTTATGCTCCTTTGTACCTTATGATAATGCCGACCTGTTTGACTTGAGTCCCAATATGTCTGCCATTTAATATCGCATGTTTCTAATATGTTTTTCTTCTGTTCTGTTGAGTGAAATATTTATACTTGGATTGTCCATCTTTAAGGATTCTTTGGCCATTTTGTCTACCTTCTCATTACCCTAAATTCCCAAGTGTTCTGGTACCCACAGAAAATAAGTTATTATTCATATCTGTTTTATACTGTAAAATGTAATCATGATTTCTGATCAAATGTCACCTCTATTTGTTTCCAATGATTGTAAATTCATAAGAACTGCCATTGAGTCAGAACCAGGGTTTGAAATTAACACCCGCCAACCCGCCAAATGCTGCTCCAAATCAGCTGTGGCGGTTAATGTTGTCAAATCACTAGCCAATTTGGCAGGTTACTTTTCTTCACTCATTAAATTCTTGGGGAAGTTAATGTGAGCCAAATCTGCACAGATTTAGCGCAAATACTGCACTCTTGAGTCATAATGATAATATGAAATACAACCTAATTGCACATCATACCTAGCTTACTTGAACATACCCTACCCTTCAATACTCAACAAATAATGGCGTGCTGGTTTCCTTTGCATTGAAGCAATAGCGAAGACTCAAAAAATGACTGAAAACTCAGACACTCTGTGATTTTCTTACTGTCCAGCTGAACTCTCCTGATATCATGCACTTTGATCCCACCGTCTTAAATTTAGATATATCAAATTTAAGGCCATAAAAGTCTTAAATTGTACAACAAAGTTTTAATTATGATTTCAAGAGGTCTTAAATTTGGGGACGGAAATACAAGAATTGCAATATAGCTTAATGTGATGATTACACTTCCAAAGTTTATATGAGTGCTGCAGTTTCAAGCTGTACATCCGTTACCGTGGAAACTGCTATATTCTGCCGATCTAAAAGCGCCACCTGCTGGCAGAGGATGAATGTGCATGTTCAATAAGCCCTTCTGCTGTTTTTGTGCAGACCATTGCGAAAATCGACCCATATTTTTATGCAGCAAACACTCAGTTAAATGGAACTGGTGGAAAAATGCATTAAAAATGCATACAAATATAAACAATTAAGACATTAAGATATATTTATGTCATATTAATATAATAACTGATTGGTAATAATTGTTTAAATTAATGCAATAATTGATACTTTTGACTCTTATCCCTTTCCTTAAAAATTGTTTAAATGCTGAAATGTGTGCTGAAAACTTTTTGCTTGTGTGAAAACCTGTAACTGAACAGTATATATGGTATTAATTTAATTTGTGCAGGTCTTTAAAAGGTCTTAAAACTTCTTAAATGTATTATTCAGATATTCAGATTTTATAATAAATATATTTGTATATGAAGCTGTGACGCAGTTAATCTGGTTTATTTCCATGTTTTTTTTTTGTGCTAGTTGAAGAATGGCCGGTAACTTACAAATTTAGCAGCCAAATTGGCTGGTGAGTGAAAAAGTTAATTTCAAACCCTGGTCAAAACATATTATTACTTTATCTGTTCTTACTTCATAAACCCAGCCTAATGACATTAGGATTGCTATCATTTTATCAAATTAATCCCATCCCCCACTTTCATAATTTTCTCACATTTAAGTCAACTTCAGGCTGATCTAGTAACTAGGGCTGCATTTGCCACCTCTACGATTTACAACTTAGCTTACAATGCTTTTGAGAAATGCAGCCCAGGGTGCTATTTATGTACTACAACTACTGGAGCAAATAACTTTGATTCTAGACCAGTTTCATTGAACAAACACCTCTTTAAACTTGTGTGGCTTTTAAGCTGTTAAATTGATGACGTACCATCGACCTCAAGCGTTTTTGTTTTATTTTATTTTTATTTTTTTATTATTATATTAGTAGTATATAACATGCTCGTTCATCGAGGCCTCACACTCCATCCCAGTAGGTGGCGGAAATGCACCTTAAGCTGGTTTGCCAACCGCCATTAAACACAAAAGAAGAAGAAGACCTCAAGCGTTTCCGCCATGTTTGTAGTTCTTTTTCATTTGTTTGGCGCAATCCGCTATGTAGGAATAATGAATGTCTTAACGCCTGGGCAGTCTTTGCTGCGGTGTGCAGCCAGGTGGCTATAGTTTTTTTTATTAAATCATTTCGTTTGAACGCTTCAAAACGAAAGGAAGAATCTTAATGTTATTATTTTACATTTCCGTTTAAACAAGGCGCTTTGTAGCGCAGATGACCCGGAAATGTAACCGACATGACACATGAACTTGGTTTATACGGTAATGTTTAGTTCACGTTTTGCGCCGAAATCTATTGTTGCAACTAATGAATTAAAACTACAAGCAGCATTTGGAAATAAAAGGTTCAAAATAATCCCATATCACAAATGACTTTATGTCAATTTGAGAGTGAAAAGACGAAAACAATCGCTCGTGAAGAAGCTCACAGTCTCATTGGGTGATAATCGCTCGGTCAGTAGTGCAGTAAAGCAGGTAAGTGCCACAATCCTTAACACACTAAACTACAGAATACGATTGTCCTGAGCTACTTTCAGTTAGATTGTTAAAAATGCCCAGAATGTGTGGCAGTACTGGCATTAGCAGCACAAGCAGCTACAAACTTTGGGTAGCTTGAAAATATTCATATATTTTACCCACATTCTGATGTTTTTATACGGATTTGAAGGTGTCGCAGTGAAATACATTGCGTTCATTTGCATCCAAACGTCAGTATGATCCAACCTACAGCTTATTTATATATCAAAGAGCGTTAGTGAGCCCCACTATAATCCCAACACTGTATACGAATAGGCTGTGCTATCTTCAGTTAAAACGTGACGGTATATCACTTACAATCTATTAGAATACGTTAATAAGGGATTTATAATGTGCATGTCTATATTTTAGAAATGGAGTCCCAGCAGGAAGTGAACCCTGTATTCCTGCAGCAGCTCAGAGAGTTGGACATACCTGAGGAGGCAGCCAAGCAGGTACACCGCACTAAAAATACCACAAACCTGCTTACAATGAATGAAGTGACATTATATTTGCAGTATTGGTTGACTTTACAGTGTTTGTTTCTCATAGTAGATATCAAAATATAGTGCACCCATTTTGAGAACCAGAACTGTTTGTATACTGGATATTATGGTTTGACTTACCTTGATGAGTTTGTTAATTTTGTTACGGTAGCAGAATCTGACATACATAAAAGCTGTTCATGTTATGTCATGGTTTTTGGAGTGAGATGCTTTTATTGATCTTTTACAGGCACTCTTGCACACACAGAATGTGTCTGCGGAGGAAGCTGCAATGTACTACTTCAACAAACTAGAGAACGAGGTACATTTCAAGTAGTTTAATGTTACGTTGAATACAGCTTTGTCTGTAGGGCTTCTTGGATATGACAAACCACTGGTTTAGGAGAGTTAATACTGCAATTCAATGTTGTTGCCATGCCTGAAACTGTGCAGTGTGTACATGGCAACTGGTCCTCTTAACAGCATGAAAAACAAAACTTTTATTCAAATAGTGAATAGATTATATACAGAAAGTGAGCAAAGAGCACTTCTTTTATAATCCCTGAATCTATAACTCACCTGTTCTGTGCTCTGATGAAAACTCCTGTTCATAAACAGTGAAGCTGTCTGCACTATAAATCTCTTATTTACATTTTGTCTATACTTTTTTGGTTTTAAAGGGGACATTGGATGCTAAATTCACTTTTACATGGTGTTTTCATATAATGTGTCTTAGCAGTATGTGGACACAACCACCCTACAATGATGAAAATCTATTCACTACTTTTTTTTTAATCCCCCAAAAATCTAAACAGTCTCAATAATCAAGCCGTTTTGATTTTCTGATCAATATGACATCATATTGCTCAAGCCCCGCCAATGGCCGCTGACGGACTGTCCCGTATTAGCATATCTCAGCCAGTTTTACTCTGTCTGCCATTTTCTCCGTGCTCGAGCAGCTGTAGCGACAACAATGCAATGCAGGTTTTTTGTAGTTGGATGTAAAAGTGAACATAATAGTCTTCATTTTGTCCTGACATCAGAGCCACCGAGGACGCAGTGGATTAGTTTTGTTTATTTTTCAGACCCTGAGGATATGACCAAAGACTATAGAAAAAATGGACTTTGATATGACTCGTTTAAGGTGATCAGATTAAACCAGTTATTTTTGAATAATCGACTCTGGGCTTGGAATAGGCTTATTTCTTTATTTGAATGACTTTGATATAACACTAAGCAATACAAACATTTCTGGTCATTTTTTTTTTATTCCATTATCTGTATTGTGGTCAAACCCACACGCAGCGCGGCCTGTTCCTACAGTATAAAGCCTGGAATTTACCCCAGAAGAAGAACACGATGCAACACGCGCCTTGATTCAGCTAAAGATATAATTTCTGACGAGTAAATAATTAATTCTTAAAATCAAATGAAAGTGGCCTCTTAAGGCTGCCCACGCATGCAAAACAAATATTAAGCATAAACTATTTTTTATATTTACCCATTGAAAAAAATCTACATTAATTTAAGTTTTTCTGTTTCAAAATGTGTTTTCTGTTACAAAAAAACAACAACAACATAAAAAGTCTTTATCATTTCTCTTTATTTCTTTTTCAAAAGAAAATCAAATGAGCAGAATAGGTTGGCAGACCCGCCGGGTCTGAGTGCAGTTATTGGAAAGCATATTTTAGACCGATTGGAGATTAATCCTAATAAACATGCCGCTACAATAAAAACAATAACTTTAAATTACATTTAAAACAGTGTATTTCTATTATTCCTCCTGCAGTAATTAAAAGCAGCGTGCAGATCCTCATTTATCTCAGGACTGTGGCGACAGCAGCAGCGCGAACAATCGCTTTGCTCACTCACATGTAACGATATAAAGGCTAAAATCTTCTATAATGTGAAAAATATATAGTTTTTATGACATATGTCTTTATTCTTGAGAAGAAATTTAATTTTGACGAGAAAAATGTTTAAACAACATATCTCATTATTATGAGAAAATAATTAGTTTTAACGACAACATCTCAATATTATGAGAACTTATGTTAAAACTATATAATATCGTTATTACAACATAATTGAGTAGAAAAAAAGAATGTGTGGCAGCAATGCGTCACCCTAGTTTTACATGACCACTGAGGAATTTTAACCAAAGTATGTTGCAGTCATTTCATGAAGACCCTAAATAATCATAACAACTTGTGGAAAATGGGCATCCAATGTCCCCTTTAATGATAGCATTTGAAAGAAAGAGTGTACAACTCTCAGCTCATGCTGAACAACATTTTGAGCAAAGTTTATCAGTGCAGTGACTGATTTTAAATGGCCTTTGTCATTGTCTGAATGGCCATTGTATTCCTGCACTCAATGGTTACGGCGCTCAACATTGCAAAATTATATTAAGAAACTTTGGACACAACAGATATAGATCTAAATAGAACGCTGTGTAATTGAGGCAGCCATGATCAGTCAATCAGTGTAAAATGTTTTCCTTTGCAGGATGAGGGTGATGAGGACCTGATGTACAAAATGGTGTTTGTTGTAAATATGGAGCTGTCCATGGGTGTGGGGAAGGTAGATATTGTTTATTGCAATTTTCAGATTTACAGTGTACTTAATATAGAAGTGAATGATACAGAATGATGAACAAAAGACTATGTTTGTTTCCCCTCTCCGCTGTTTTGTGATCTCCTTCATCAGTCAAAAGGTGTTCCTTCTCATGAATAATGTGAAACCAATCACAATTCAGTGTTTACTCTAACATGTCACATTCTGTTCTTGGAACTGACCGAATGAAATTGCTTAACAAATAAGAAAATAATAATAGTACATTTTGTTCGTCTGACTATTCAAAATAATGTGATATAATTGTTTTGAATAGTATGCAACTTAGACAAATGTGTTAAAGTGTATTTTAGGGTTTTATGACCCATTCAGTATTTCCTCAGTGATTAATCAAACCAATACATCCATAAACAACACACTTCGATTTCCTCAATTGCAGTATCATTTTTTTAAAAACAAGTTATTGGAATTCAAAGCTGATTTGATCAAAGCAGTTTGTAATTTGTTTGTTTATAATTGATGCTTGTTTTTGCTAGAGTTATAAACTGACATCCTCTAAGCCATGAGACATTTTCTCATAAATATGAACTAAAATGTCAACATTGAGGGGAAAACCCCCCTGATAATTGTGATTTGGTATCTCTTAATGAGACACTTTCTCATAAAAATGATTTAAGATGTCCTAATGAGAAATGCATGCACGCTGTGCCAATGTGCCTAAGCAAGCAAACAAAGAAAAAAAGATGCTATATAAAGTTTTCCATATCTTTCAGTTTAATTGAGCTCTCATGTGTACAGGTGCTTTTACATACACATGCAAAGTGTTCTCTAGCCCAAGAGGTTGCCATGGTGATAAACAATGGTGCCTGCATATGCTAATAAAATAAATAAATCGAACAAAATAACCAATTAAGTAACATCCATTTATTAAGTTTAGGTGTAATGGCATTACATTCCATGCAATGTGTGCGTTCATGTTTCGACCATATACAAGCTAAAAGGTTGTGAATAAAGGCATCGATAGAAAATGCCTTACTGTGTTCTTGTTGCATTTACATGGGTCTGACCAGCAGATGTCGCCAGTGTGAGGATTTTTCAGGACTGAATCATTTTCTGAAGCAATTGTTCAGTTGATTTGAAGTTTCTCATATCTCTACTTCCTAATCTGTTGCATTGTGAATGCACACAATAAACCAAAATTACGGGTGAAAAAAAGGTTAAAATAATCAGAAACCAAGTAATTATTAGTAGAAAGTTTCTCATTATTATGACTTGCATAATCACATTGTTGGAAATGGGCTTCCATACTCTTGCATTTCAACTAATATTACTTGTTAGAGAACAATGTCTTGTGTATGGTCCCTGGATTTCAATAGATTTGAAAAGAGCAGTGTGTCCCTGTAGGTGGCGGCGCAGGTGGGTCATGCTGCAGTGGGTTTGTATCAGGCCTTGCAGGAGAAAAACAGTTGGAGGGAAATGGCCTGGAGATGGGACCATGCTGGGTAAGGGATATCACTGTGTTTTTTTAAATAAATGTCAAACCAAGCCATTCATGTATATATAAAAAAGAATCACCTCTGAATCAAAATATTTAAAGTATGTTAACCTAAGACACGTGTATTAGAATGATTTTTTTTTGTGCCTATTTAGAGCTAAGAAGATTGTGTTACAAGGCACTAACATGGCACACCTTTTGGAGTTGCAGGCTCTTGCAATGAGCCTCAGTCTTCCTACAAAGCTGGTACAGGATGCTGGACACACACAGGTTAGAGGCACATCTATGCAATGATGCTTTAGCATGGCATTGCTGTTATTGTTATAATATGGCAAATGGTGTACTATTGTGTTTTATATACCTATACAATATACCCAAAATAGCATATAAAAAATTAGACATTATATAAGTTAATGGTATATGGATGTAGATGCTAATTTCTAATACATATTTGACATGAAAATCTAAGGAGAGTAAGACTTTTTTAAAGATGTGTGATTCATTTTGTGTTTTTACATTTTGTGTAAATAGTGATAAAGCCTGGAAAATGATTTTGGACTTTTTGTGTGTGCAGGTGGAGCCAGGTTCATGCACTGTGCTTGCCATCATTGGAGAAGAGGAGATGGTGAATAATGTCACAGGCAGTCTGAAACTGCTTTGAGGAAACTACTGTAATGCTGAGGAAAACTCTTCAAGTGTAAGTTTGTTATGTACCACAGAAAGAACAGGGGTCAGCGTTTCCCCACAGTAGCATGGTTTTCCTCAAGATAATGCACTCAGTAATTTTTTGTTTATGTTGTGATGACTTACACTGACACCTAACAATGTGGATGCATCTTTACGCAAAAGCAAACAGTTTCTGTTACTGATACCTAGGGATGGGTTATATACCGTTATAATTGTCAACCAGTATAACTATTTACGTATCATTTCTATTGTGGTTATGCCAATGTTTCCTGCAGTTCTGAAACTCCAGCACCACAAAAAGAACCCATATTTAACTCCAGTTGTGAATGTGAGTTTGCGATTTGAATTGAATGCGATGTGAAAAGGCAGTGTATCACTAACAGCAAGAGAAAGGGTCTTTCTTTTAAGCTGTCATTGTGAGTGGCACACATAAAAAAACAACGCAGAATATTCAGGTTTACAAACAACATACATTACAGCTTTCACTTAATCCTTATGAAAACTGGTCACACTGAGTAAATTACTTCAGAAATTAAACTAAATTATAATGGGTAATTTTATGTAGTTGCTAAAAGGTTTTCAGTATTGTCATGGAAGGCTATCTGACATGTAAAATGGAGAAGGTGTCATCATACTTAACTTGTATTGTTTATTTCATTGCTTGCAGTAAAAACACAATACAAAGATGATGTAACCAATAAAACACTATATTTAAAGTTTCATTGCAGTATTAATGATAAAAATCTAAATTTTATAGATCAACCATTACTTGGAAATTGGAAATTCACAAATATTCTTTTTTTTTTTTCATAAAAACTATATATTGTGATGTATGTTTGTCTATAATATTGTTACATTTTTGCTTGTATCACACATTCCTATCAATACTATTGTAGAAATGCACAGTAAGCCATGATTTATTTATTACTCAAAATCAAAATGGAGTAGGAGGTGAATTAATGAGATAAAATTAGTATAAATTGACTGCTAATGCAACCCACGTGTGACTTTTATTAAGCCACTGAAATTACTCTTCATCTCATATAGGTGTTATTTTAACCACTTTTTTTTTTTTTTTTATATTACAATTAATTTATTTTGTACAACTTTTTAATGAAGGAAAAATTACTGAGTGAAATCTGTGGAAAAACACCTACATACAGTAGTTTAACACAACAGATGTGTTTAAATAATTGCATTTTAAAGCTCTTAAGTTATGTTAGAAGACAACTAATAGATATTATCAACCGGTCCCTAAATTTCTATAGAGCTAAAAAAAAAAAAAAACCTTCCTTAAAGAGATGTGTCAGTTAAATAGCAATGTAAAAAAAAAAAAAAGTATACTCACATGTAAGTGTTATACTTGATGTGCCTGTAGAACCCAATGTTTTGATGATTGTGAAATCAAATAGCCATTGTCAAAGTATAATGTATAACATGTTTCTTCTTTTTTTATTGTGGGAATATTTTTTATTATTTACAATTAAATGTACCCAATCCCTTTGTGATGATAAAATCAGCCTGTGTGTAGCTTCACTTCTGGACAAAGTAATTTGTGTCACTTCCTTGTCATTTACAATTCCTGTCCTGTTGCATCATGGAATAGTAAGGTGTTCACTTTATACCCTCTTCAGAATCTCTGCGGAAGTAGTAAGTTATCCGGATACTTTTCGCCTACCGTTACTGTGAATTTTGACATATTACTTGTTTCACATACTGCAGAGAGGTAGGCATAGTCGGACACGGGGTGTGACTTCCTGTTACACTATGTGGCACACTATATTACAGAAATCATGTCTCTTGTTTAGAACAGCAACATTAAACTGGTTTTCTGCCACCATTTAATGTGCATAAAACTGAGATGACTGCAAACATTGTGATTGGTTTATTTTAAATGCATCCATTTAAAAAAAGAATGCTACTACAATTTCCTTTGATTATATAAAATGTTAGTCTATTATGATAAATGAGAGTTGTCCAGATTGACAGTTTTTTTTAAATTGTTCCTCCATTGACTGCAGCTGCCTACTCTCGTCTACAGTCAAGGCCAGGCGTTTGGCATATCAATTGAGTCTATTTGCACACACAGACATTCATAAACTCAGGAAACTATCATCACTATCCCTCAAAAAGTTCACTCAGCTAGCCATATGTTACGTAAATGCAACATAATCTGATAACCAAAATGTTGCAGTTATGTTGTAACATCCATATAAAAGTGAAATTGCCACAACTTTGTGACATTGTAGATTAATGTTTGTTAGATGGTGATTTTTACTTTGACTTTTCTACAGGTGGATATGTTGTAGTGTAACCTATATTTATGCTAGAATTTTGTCTGTGAGTGTGGACGATGAATGCAGGCTCAAATTGAATTCACTTCATTTATTATTTGGACAAAAAATGACAATGTAGCAACAGTAATAGAAAGAACTAGTGGCAACTAAACAAACGTGTAGCATATACTTATAGCCTTATACTACTGGCAATTCAGATTTTACACTATTGTGTAAACGTTTGTGCATTGCTTAAACATTTTAAATGGCTCAAAATATAGTAAAATACAACAAACACTTTCTGCCTATTCAAACTAATGTGATTGAACTGTTTTTAATAATATGCAACATCTAAAAAAAAAAAAAAAAGTGTTTTGGGGTATTGAAACCCTTGTACATAGACAAGCTTGACATGTAATACATTCAGTATATTCGCTCATTTGATTTTAATAGCTTCAAAGATATATAATAACGATTAATTTACTTTATTACAATACAAGCTTCACCACAAAGAGCGTTTGGACACAGAGGCTCTCTGTCCCAGACAGACATGGCGGTTAAACTACGAATACATTTTAGTTACTTTTAAAGTAAAAATGAAAAGACAGAGACATGTAATGTCAGTTGATGCCCTGTCAAGTTGTCGTCTTTTTGTACTGATTTGCACTTTTAGATAGAACTTAGGAATTTAGAAAATTACCAATCAAATAAAAAGTATTTCAAACACAGTACTAATAAAAAACTAAAATGATCTATTTCTGATGGTATAATAGCAAAACACGTACATAATGAAAATGTGTTCATATGTATATAGACGAATACACTTATATAACACTTACAATATTATCAAATATATTAATATAAATGTATTTTACATCCTGAATAGCACACGAACGGATGTCCGCCCTCTTCAGTTGCGCGCGCAGCCACATAATTCCGTCGGGGGCGCATGCAGTTAAATTACATTATCAATTCATTCATATATATATGAATGACATATATATATATAGGCCTGTGTGTATATCAAATCTACTCCAAAGCTGTAAATGTACTTTCAGGTGTCATTTAGCAAATTCTGGTCACCAGAACAAGTCGGTGAATACGACGGCATTTTTTAAATATTGAAACACGACGGCCTTAAATGAGCTAAAACTACGGATAAATTATGTTATCTGGTCAGCCGTGGGGGGTTTGCTATTAACACTGAGTAATGCAAGTACGCTTTTGTAGAGTCGCTGTTCAACACCGCCGAGGGCGTGCAAGTATCACGCTTTCTCTGCTCAATAACGACACAGAAACGGCTTAAGCTTTGCTTTGTTAGTTCTAGAATATACTATACTGGCATTACCACGCCAAGTGTACATTTTTCAGTAATCCCTAGGCAATTATTCTTAAAATAAACGTTTTATTATCTGACTTAATAAAAAGGCAACGAAAAATCGCATTTAAATCCTTTACGGTAAGAGTGATTTAATGGTCTTCTAAGCGTGGCTTATTATTTTGGCCCATGTTCGTTCTCCCTTGTCTTCCTCTTTTTAAAATCAAGAACCACCGTTCACCAACTTGGTTAATATTTTGTATAGAATGAAATCCTGCATCAAATCAAACGTTCAGTCGAATCCTGGAACCCTCATATATTCCTCACAGTATTGTTGTTGACGCTCTAGTATCGCGCTCCCTGCGATAGCGCCCAGGAGACCCCGTGCAGCTACAGCTGTATAACAGAACACTGTTATTCCCTTTTACACGGATAAAAGAAAAAAATTATTCCTTATATGAAAGACCATTGAACTCCACGGCGTGTGTATTTAGTAACAACATCTTTCCCCAAATCCTCGGTCCCTTCTTTTGAGAGTATCCATTTTAACTAGCAGCTAGTCTTCGAAACTTACACTACAGCAGCCCTCTCATCGCCATCTCACGCTGCAAAATGCTGCTGACTGGAGAAGTGAACCACCTCTGAAAAACAAGGCTCTGCCTCTTTTCTGTCTACGACAACAGCACGCTCCGCGATGATCCAACGGCGTATGCGCGTTACTGTTTGTTACAGCGATTGGCACATTTCTACCCTATAGCATACCAGAGGGCGCAAGCTAAGGCTAAAAGTCCGCCCTCCTAATGAACCCCTGCTCCGGTTTGCAACCCGCCAATAAACTCTCAGAAGAAGAACCCCTGCTCCGCTGTGGAGGAAACCCTGTATTATGGTTGTGTGTAGGCTTCGCTGGGAGCCGCGGTCGATGCCGGTGTAGAGAGGGGGATGGGCAATACTGCAAATGTAAAGGACATGAGATTGAATCACAAGTCTTGAATCACCAAGTGGTGTACATATACCCATATAAATACCGACTATAATTTTTTTAAATAACATTGTATATTGATTTATTCTTGAGCAACGCAACGTGAACATTTGAAGACCGCACAATGTCTTAAATGGGAGAAAATGTGAAACTTTCAACTCTTGCGTAAGGGACACTGAGAAGTTTGGAAGATAGCCCGAGAGCCTAGCGGTTTACAGTTCACAGGAAACACCGAGGTTGCAAGAGAAGGCCTGCTGTTCTGCCTCGCATTGATGTTGGATTTTTTCAAAACATTAAACACCTTTAATAGGCATTTGAGTTTCAGTTACGCTGGAAGGACGCTGTAGGTAAGGTATTTTGTTATTTCCTTGAAGGTTTTGATGGCAATAGCTTATGTTTTTTATGAACTAGGTTAACGTTAACGTTAAAGTTGATGCAGAAGTTGGGAGGTCAGTTTGTCAGCTCTTGTTTATCAACACGCATTGTAGCTTTTCTGTTTCAACTGTTCTTGGTTGATTGTTTCTGCTGTCACGTTAATGAATCAAATCTAATTATTTGAATGATGTAACACCGTGTTGGTTGATCTGCATGTTAGCTTGATGTAGCCATAATCACAATCACACTTTGCCAAGAACCTCATGCTAAGAATTGCTTTTTTGCTGTAAACATTCAGTGACCGACCTGCTATTATGCTGTATGTCTTATCTTTTGCACATATATCACGTTCATATCATCCGTGCCACTCAGCATAATTAATTATCTATCAAAGTGAGCAAAGGTATCATTTTAGTTAGCCGTTAGCTTAGCCGAGAGAGGCTGTCTTAAAAGCCAGTACGGTTTAAAGTAATGCATTAAAATGCTTAATCGTTCTTTGCCATGGATCTTAATTTGAAAATAATAGAAGAAACGATTGATAAGGGCTGTGGGCAGAAACTGTGTTTAGTGTTAGTTGACATGTTCTTGTGTTAATCAAGTTTCTATGTGAAAACAGACATGGCAGAGTTTTTATTTACAACATCCGTGCTTGTCAGAATCGAATTTGATCAACAATTTTTTTCAGAGAACATGGGGAATGATGTATTAAGGTGCTTAACTTTATTTTTTGCCTTCGCTTAACTATATGGAGGCACTTTGTTATACTTACAAAGTGGGATTTTTTTTTTTGTCTGTTCTAAAATAAGAGTTTTGTCGGGATAAGCAGATATCCTGTTGAGCAGTGCTCTCCGTTTGATATGCATAGCTCTATTTTTTTTTATTGTGACTGCTTCAATCTTGTTGACTATGAGACAACTTTATGATGTGTTTATAATTTCTTGATCTGGTCTGTGTGTTTTCGTTTGGAAGCGAAAATAATGCGAACCCCGAGAACCGTGACTTGCTTTTCTCATTCCTCACCTCCGCCTCCCCCATCAACCAACCCCCAACTCCATCCATGAGAAATGGGTGGTATTTCTAAGGGGAACTCGCCTTTCCTTTTTTAGCCTCCATTTTTATTTCAACAACAAGTGAGTGGAAACGACAAGGAAGAGAAGGCAGCCGAAGATTCGCTCACGTTACTGCCGATAGCACATATCGAAAAAAAATAAAAAATAAAATAATATATATATATATATATATATATTAGTCGTTTTCGATACGCTGTAAATATGTAACATTTGTTATGTTATTTCCAGCGTGTAAAATGAACCGTGAGGAATTGTGCTGTTGTG